GAGTGTATTGCCTGCGTGTATGTGAGTGCACCTGTGTTGTGCAATGCCGCAGAGATCAGAAGAGGGCTTCTGAGTCCCCTGGAACTGGAGTTAAGGACAGTTCATAGCCACTATGTGGGTTCTGGGAATCGAACCCAGGTCCTCTGCAAAGAGCATTCAGTGCTCTTAACCTCTGAGCCATTTCTCCAGCCCCTATTTATTTTTATTTTAGTGTATGAGTGTTACACCTGCATGTATCTAAGTGCACCTGTGTCATACAGTGGCAGGGGACAGGTGTTAGATCCCCTGGAACTGGAGTTACAGATGGTTGTAAGCCATCATGTGGGTGCTGGGAATTGAACCCAGGTCTCTTGCAAGAGCAGCCAGTGCTCTTAACCACTGAGCCACCTCTCCAGACCCTGTACCTGATTTCTTTAGCTTCACACAGTACCCCTGAGAAACACCCTGAGTTTGTGGGTAGCAGTAGTCCACTCTTTTTTTTATATAATGTAGTAGTAGCAGACCATAGAGGACAGTGAAATAACTGTTTTTACTCAGTTGCCTTTTTTCTCAGAACTTGAATATTCCCTTTAAAAGTAAAAAAAGGGCACCGGCCCCACGGCCAGACAGTGCTCAGATGGACTCTTGTGAGATGAGAAGCTGTTAGCTTTTTGAGACACGGTCTCCTTGTAGCCCCAGCTGTCCTGGAACTCACTATGTAGACCAGGCTGGCCTCAAACTCACAAGGCCTGCCTCTGCCTCCCAAGTGCTGGGATTAAAGGCGTGCGCCACCACGCACAGCTCTCTTTTGATTTTATATTGAGTGGCATATTGCTTTTGTCTTTAGGAGTTCCCACAGAGGCCCAAGTCAGATGAGGATCAGATGCTCTCAGGCTTTCTCCTAAGTCTGGATTCCTCCAGGAAAGATTTTGGCCTCAGGAATTTAGGGGTTGGACTGGCCTGGGAGCTGGGTCCAGGAAAGATTCTGGTCTAGGGCAGCTGGTGGGCGTGCCACCCAGAGATGCAAAGGAAGATGGGGGCAGGAAGTGGCCCCAAGGGTTCCTGAGGACTGCACTGAGGAGCTGGGTTTGTTCCCAGAGAGAGAGGCCTGTGGGTTGGAGAGAGAGGCTTTCAGGTCGGAGAGAGGCCTGCGAGTCCATCCAGCCAGTATTCTTAATCACTGAGCCATCTCTTCAGTCCATAACCAATTTTTTATTTTCATATTATTTACTCTCTTTTCATTGTTTTTTATTTTGCAATGTCTTGGACATACGAGGCAAGCTTTCTACCACTGAGCTATACCTCCAACCCTAGACCTTCATTCTGTCTTGTTTTGTTTTGTTTTGTTTTGTTTTGTGTGACTGAGGTCTCCCTGTAGCCCCAGGTGGCCTGGAATGCTATAAAGATCAGGATGGCTTTGATCTCACAGAGATCCACCTGCCTTTGCCTCCAGAGTGCTGGGATTAAAGGTGTGTGCCATCATGCCTGGCTAGACCTTCATTGTTTGTTTGGTTTTTTTTGTAAATATTTTATTATTTTTATTCTATGTGTATGTGTTAGGAATCAACCCTAGGGCTTCATGTATGCTAGTCAAGCACTCTGCCAACTAAGCCACATCCCTGCCTGGCTATTTTTACTTTTATTTTCTTATGGTACTAGAAATTGAACCCAGGGCCTCATCCATGAGTGCTCTACCACTGAGCTATATCCCTAGCCCTTTTTGTACTTCCTATTTTTGAGACTGTCTCAATAAGTTGCCCAGGCTGGACTTAAAATTGCTCTGTAGCTCAGGCAGGCCTTGAATTTGTAATCCTCCTGCCTCAGCCTCCTGAGTGACTAGAATTTTAGGCCTGCACAACAGTCTCTCTTCTCTGCTCCAGCCTTAATTAAAAATGCAGCTTTAGGGGCTGGAGAGATGGCTCAGCGGTTAAGAGCACTGACTGCTCTTGCAGAGGACCCGATTTTGATTTCCAGCACCCACATGGCAGCTACAAACTGTCCTTAACTCCAGTTCCAGGGGAATCTGACCCCCTCTTCTGACCTCTGCGGCATTGCATGACATGGGTGCACTCACATACATGCAGGCAATATACTCATACACATGATGAAAATAATAAATTTTTTTTTTAAAAAAAAAAACACAGCTTTAGAGGGTGGGGAGATGGCTCAGTGGATAAAGTGTTTGCTGTGCAAGTATGAGGACCTGAGTTTTGGATCCCCTAGCACTCACATAAAAGTTGGACATAGCAGCTTGTGCCTTGTAATCTGAATGCTTGGGGGTGGTAGATGGGCAGCCCCCGGCTCACTGGTCAGCCAGTCTAGTTCAAAAGGGACAGTTCCAGGTTTAGTGAAAGATCCTGTCTTCAAAACTAAGATGGATTCCCTTTGGAGGCAGAGGCAGGTAGATCTCTGTCAGATGGAGGCCAGTATAGTGGGTTCTAGGCCAGCTGGGGCTAAAGGGAAACCCTGTCTCAAAAAGAAAAAAAAAAAAAAAAAAAAAGAGGTATGATGGCATGCTTTTAATCCTAGCATTCTGGGAGGCAGAGGCAGATAGATCTCTGTGAGTTTCAGGCCAGACTGGTCTACATAGTGAGCTCTAGTGTTCTTAACTGCTGAGCTATCTCTTTTTGTGTCATCTCTGGCTTTGGAAATTTGCATTATGGTGACATTCTAATACATCATTTTAAACTATCCTAGTATTTCAAACATAATACATAAAATGCTTACCTAAGGATGGAGCCAGCCAATATACTGTAAAAAACTGATGGAAAGCATCATCAAAGCACATGAAATGCAGTGAAAGTGCCAAAGCTGGATTAAACAGAGCTCCTGTTAGACTTCCCCCTGCAACAGTAATGAAAACACAGTTAGGATGAATACAGTATCCCAAGACCCTCTGAGCACACATGTGCCTTTGCACTAAAAACAAAAAGTATTACTGCTGAATTCATTTTTACTTGCCAGCATAATCCTTAAGAAGTGACTGACAGGGCTGGAGAGACAGCTCAACAGTCCTTGCTGCTCTTACCCAAGGCCCAGGTTTGGTTCCCAGCACCCATATAGTGGCTCACAATAGTCCATAACTCCAGTTCCAGGAGATCTAATACTTTCTTATGGCCTCCTTGGGCATCACACACATGTGTGCACTTACATACATGCAGACAAAACACATACACATAAAAAACAATAAAAAGAGCCGGGCGTGGTGGTGCACGCCTTTATCCCCAGCACTCGGGAGGCAGAGGCAGGTGGATCTCTGTGAGTTAAAGGCCAGCCTGGTCTACATAGTTAGTTCCAGGACAGCTGGGGCTACAGGGAGACCCTGTCTCAAAAAGACCAAAAAAAACCAATAATAATAAAAATAAATAAAAATTAAGAAGTGGGGGCTTGGGAGATGGCTCAGATGGTAAGAATGCTTGCTAAGCAAGCATGAGTATCTGAATTTGAAGCCCCAGGATCTATGTAAAAGCCAGGCATTGGGAGAAGGGGGCTGGAAAGATGGCTCAGCAATTAAGAGCACTGGCAGCTCTTGCAAGGACCCAAGTTTGATTCCCACCACCCACATGGAGGCTAACAACCATCCATAACTCCAGTTCCAGGGGATCTGATACCCTCTTATGACCTCCATGGGCACTGCACAACATGGGTGCACTTACATACATGCAGGCAATACATTCATACACATAAAAAAATAAACTAAAATTATATATATA